GTCTAATTCCTATATAGCTATCGGATCTCTCTCTTTCGGGTGCGTTCGATTCATTCTTGTATCCCTTTGGTCCTAGTAGTACTCGGGAAGCCACTCCTTGAACGTGTCATCACACATACGGACACTCCCAATCCTCATCGTAGCTCAGGATATCACAGGCCCACCATCTTTCGCCTAGTACGTCCTCAAACCACACCGCCAACTCTGATACCATCTGTAACGACCCCCGATCGCTACGAAATATCGAAACTGCCGTCACACAACAACATAGACCTTCCAACGTGTTTTGTCCTTACTCGCATGTATACCGAGACACTTCCTAGTAGGTCACCCATCCTGAAATTGCTCCAAAGTCAGCACGTTTAACTTTGGAGTTCTCTCGGGATAGTCAACCAAAAAAGTAGGTGCACCTTATTACTATGAGTAACCCAACTAATTCTTTTATGTTATCTCAGATCATATAGTCTAATTCCTATATAGCCCTCGGATCTCTCTCATTAGGGTGTGTTCAATCCATTCATATATCTCTTTGACCTTAGTGGTACTCAGATAGCCGCTCCTTGAACGTGTTATAACACCGGCGAATACCCCAAAACCCTCATCGTAGTTCGGGATATCACAATAACAAACATTAATAAAATTGTAAACCATAAATTAAATCAACACGATAGTAAATATAGTATTTTAAAATACAAAGGATAATTTATCAAATATTTAAAATGTACAAGGATAATACATCGATATCTATAATTCTTTAAAAAATAAATGTTAAATTAAAATAATCCATGATAGTAATAAATATATATAATATTTTTAAATACAAAGGGATAATAACGTTAAAACCGTAACACATATGTTCAACGGTTTTTGTTTTAAAATGGCTATGCCATTCTTGGACAAAGAAAACATGCAAATGCATTTCAAGATTTACTAATTATAGAGTCTTGGTTATACGTATAAAATACCCGAAACAAAACTCTAAACACCGTACAGAAATTAAAAATAAAATTAAAATATAATTTCTATAGAACAAAACAAAGAAAAGAGAGAGAAGAAGAACAATGGCGAAGGGAACAAAAGCAGTGGCCTTCTTCGTGGTGATGATGATGATAATGGCGATGGCAATGGTTGGAGTTGAGGGAAGAGTTGGTAATGTTATGGCTGACAATATACGAAGAACTTTGGCCGAGAAGGTTAACCATCTTGACGCGGTGTTTCTGCCCTGTTGCAACGAGGAGATAACAACCTGTTGTTTCATTGGTGGTGGTGGTAGTAGTGCCTCCACTATGACATAATTTGTGTGTGTATATATTCATTCTATAAATAATTTGTATTGTTGGAAGATATATATATGTATGTGCATTCCTAAGAAATAAAGATGTTCCCTTTGTTATATATCGGGAGATTTGCATGGCACAAAATACATATCCTTTTAGTTGTGTTGGATTTATAAAATTACATCGAATTCATAATATCTTACAGTAAAATACAACAACGAAGCCAAATAGTACGAATGCATGATATCCGAAATTATCATAAGTTTGAGGATAACATAATGAAATCATTTCAACCCAAACAAGGAGAAAAACATCTAACGCCACGAAGCAAGCAAGAACACAAACCCACCTTTACCCTCGAAACCCTAATTGCCAAACGCTTTTTTTAATGCGAAATCAAAGAAATGAAAGACGTTTGGATAAAAATGAATACTTAAAAATACTTTCACAAATTCACATTCTTCCGTGTTCTATCATTTTCTCGGATTTACTCGTCACCTTAGCACATTGTTTACATGCTTAAGATCTGTCGCTTTTACAAGTGGAGTAAGGTTCGTCGCTTTTACATTTTGTTCACTTCACAAAAGTAATGGATTTGATCGTATATATACACCTACGATTTTTAACAAAACATATTTTAAAAAAAATAATCATATTCAAAATAATATAAATGAGAAAAATGATACTCTTCCACAAACAAAAATATCAACTAAATTAATTTTCTCCGAACGATTTGTAACAAATCAATCCTCTAATAAATCCATAACAAATATTAAATTGATAAAGGATAATGACGCCAAAACCGCAACCCATCTGCTTTAGGGTTCTTGCTCTAAAATGGCTATATCATTCATTGACGAAGAAAACATGCTATTCATTTCAAGATTTACTAATTATAGAGGTTTGATTACACATACAAATTTACATGACACCAAACTCCAAACACCAAACATAAATTATTTTAATATTTTTAATAATAAATTAAAACAATCAACAACTGTAAAGAATCAAAGATTTTTTTAAATGATTAAGAATAAATACCAATATCCTTAATACTTTAAAGTGTTAAGTTAAATCAATCTATATAATAATAAATCTTCCATTTTTAAATGTTGAAGGATAATAAAAAATAACTAAAAAGATAACTGCAAATCTGCTTCATCATTCTTGCTATTAAAGGACTATATATCTCCTTATCATACATCGAGATTTACTTACTAGTTATAGAGGTTTGGTTACACATATAAATAACATCACACCACACCAAAGTTAAAACATAATATGCACAGTACAAAACAAAGAAAAGAGAGAAGAATAACAATGACGAAGGGAGTTTTGAGAATGACGTTCTTGGTGATGGTGGTGATGATGGTGATAATGGCGATGACAATGGTTAGTGTTGAGGGAAGGGTTGGAAATGTTATGGCTGACAAAATACAAAGAACTTTGGCCGAGAAGGTTAGCCACCCTGATGCATTGTTTCCACCTTGTTGCAACGAGTTGGTCCAAACCTGCTGTACCACCCCTTCACTGACATAATTTGTATGTGTGTGTATCTATATATACACACACACATGCATTATTCTATAAATAATTTGTATTGTTGGAAGGAATATATATATGTACATATGTATACATGTGTGTGTGATTGTATATTCCTCCGAAATAAAGATGTGTTCTCTATGTTATATATATTGGGAGATGTGTATCGTATAAAACAAATATAAATCCCCAATGCTTATTTTTTTGGATTTATAAAATTACATATCGAATTTATAATATAATACAATAACATCCAACGAAAAATAAAATAGTATGAAAGACAAAATATTTGAAATAAATATTATTTAAATATTGATAGAAATTAATTTGTGAGATTAGGGAACGATTATAAGAAAATCAAAGAGTAAAAGAGCTTGAGATATAGATGGTTATGTGTATGAACATACACATCCGAGAGTAAAATACAACAACATCCAGCGAAAAAAGAGTATGAAGGACAAAATATTTGATAAATTTTATATCGATAAAGTATAATAACAAACATTTATAAATTTTTAAACCATAAATTAAATCAACACGATAGTAAATATAGTATTTTAAAATATAAAGAATAATTACCAATATCCTTATATGAGAAAATTAATCAAATATTTTAAAATGTATAAGGATAATACACTGATATATATAACATTTGAAAAAATAAATGTTAGATTAAATCAATCCATGATAGTACTAAATATATATAATATTTTTAAATACAAAGGGATAATGATACCAAAACCGTAACACATATGTTCAACGGTTTTTGTTTTAAAATGGCTATGCCATTCTTGGACAAAGAAAACATGCAAATGCATTTCAAGATTTACTAATTATAGAGTCTGGTTATACGTATAAAATACCCGAGACAAAACTCTAAACACCGTACAGAAATTAAAAATAAAATTAAAATATAATTTCCATAGAACAAAACAAAGAAAAGAGAGAGAAGAAGAACAATGGCGAAGGGAACAAAAGCAGTGGCCTTCTTCGTGGTGATGATGATGATAATGGCGATGGCAATGGTTGGAGTTGAGGGAAGAGTTGGTAATGTTATGGCTGACAATATACGAAGAACTTTGGCCGAGAAGGTTAACCATCTTGACGCGGTATTTCTGCCCTGTTGCAATGAGGAGATAACAACCTGTTGTTTCATTGGTGGTGGTGGTAGTAGTGCCTCCACTATGACATAATTTGTGTGTGTATATATTCCTTCTATAAATAATATGTATTATTGGAAGATATATATGTATGTGCATTCCTAAGAAATAAAGATGTTCCATTTGTTATATATCGGGAGATTTGCATGGCACAAAACACAATCCTTTTAGTTGTGTTGGATTTATAAAATTACATCGAATTCATAATATCTTACAGTAAAATACAACAGCGAAGGCAAATAGTATGGATGCATGATATCCGAAATTACCATAAGTTTGAGGATAACATAATGAAATCATTTCAGCCGAGAAAAACATCGAATGCCACGAAGCAACCAAGAACACAAACCCACCTTTACCCTCGAAACCCTAATCGCCAAACGTCGTTTTTCCCTTCCTTGTTTAACCTCCAAAATCCACCGATCAGCTGCATCGTTCATTACTTTCACTGACTTCCTAAGCCTCTCTTTGAATCCGAGTCTTTCTCCTGCCCTCAGATTGTAACTCGCTAGCACTGCCCGTCTTCCCTGCCGGTAACTCTCCGTACCAATGCCGTACCACTCTCGTCGTCCTTCCCACGACATCGCCATGGCCGTGGACGTGAAAATTATGCGTTTTGGTGTGCATTCGCTATACGATCTTCACGAACATGCATGCGTGAATGCGTAGATATATATACGAGAAACAAGTTGGTCGAGTAGATTTCGGTTGAACAATTATGGAATTACGTCTCATTGGGGTTGGTGGCTAATGTTGCACCAAAAGCTCCAACCTTGTTTATTAATTAGCTTTTAAACTATGATTTAATGGTTATATTTAGTCAGCCTCACGTGGTGCAATCGTTAATGTTGGATTTTTTTTAATTAAAATCTTTAAACTTATTAATTATGATGACTATGCACCCTTGGGCCTTAGTGTTATCCATTATAAATATTATGAGGCTTTAATGGGCCGGGCCCATGTAAGAATAGTTGGGCATATACCTAGAATTTGGATAAGACGCTAATTTTTTTTTTCCGGTGCTCTGATTCTGCTTGGTGCGATGGAAAACGATAAATTTTCCGAGAAAATCTAGAAGGTAGCGCGAAGATTCGGATCGACTTCAACGAAGGAAGATCTCTCTTTATCGTTCTAGAGAAAAGCGACAGCTGATTTATAATTGATTCGGAGTTCACTGAGTCCACATTGATTCGAGTTTTATCCTATGAAAACCTAATTCTCTGGTCTCTGTATCTCGTCTGATTCAACGAATCAGATGTATTGATCTGATTCTTTTTCAGACCGGAATTTTGGTTCCTTTCGAGATTTCTTCAGCAGATTGGTAGGCAAATAATTTCCTAGTTACTCTCTACGTTGATTATTGGAATCAAGGTGTCGGCTTTTTGTGATCCCGACTCGAGAGAAAGCAGTTGAGGGTTTTGAAGAATGGGAAGGCCGTTGTTTTATGATGTCCTGGAAAAGCCTGCGACGAGCTGTATCATAACATTATGTAGTGTTGTATGGTTCGTGATTCAGAAGAAGAGTATTGGATATGCCCAAGTGGGGTTGAGCTATGAAAACGCAGTGGAAGGGCACTACTGGAGGATTATCACTTCGGCATTCTCACATATCAGCGTCTTGCATCTTGTCTTCAACATGAGTGCTTTGTGGAGTCTTGGAGTTGTGGAACAACTCGGACATGCCGGTCTTGGAGCCGGTTATTACCTGCATTACACTCTTGTCCTTATTGTCTTGTCCGGTGTTTTGGTTCTTGGGATCTACCATTTGTTGATCGTGAGATTTAAGGTTGATTATTTTAGGAGAGTTACTGCTGTTGGGTACTCCTGCGTTGTTTTTGGGTGGATGACGATTCTCTCTGTGAAGCAACCCTCTTCAAAGCTGGATCTTTTTGGGTTTCTGTCCCTTCCCATTAGTTTTGCACCCTTTGAATCACTCGTTTTCACGTCGATTATTGTTCCACAAGCCAGTTTCCTGGGACATTTGTCAGGAATCCTTGTCGGGTATGCCATATCTTGGGGTATGATTGGTGGGATGAATAACTACTGGGCTCTTACCATGTTGGGTTGGATAGTAGTGGTGTTTGTTATCAGTTTGAAGAAGTCTGGTGCTTATGATGTCAGATTTCTGGAGATTGAATCGGTTACTGATCCTTCTTTGCCTTCAGTGCGGTTTGTTGGAAATGGCCGAACCTTGCGAATGAGTGCAGTTGCTGTCAGTGGACTGGAGATCGTTTAGTCTAAATTACATGATTGCTGTTGCATCCCGGGAGATATGTACTCGAAGGTCAGACGGTGTATTGTTTCTACTGACGACAGATCTGAAATATCAAGAGAGAGAGACTGATCCCTCAGCTGGGTAAGAGTTTCCAGCCATGGCTCCTTCAGGCTTTGCTTGAACTCTCTGTGGACAGGTTTGATGCATAACGAGGTGTCTCTGCCCATCTGCTTGCAATTGACATATATACAGTCGGGATTTCTCGGTCATTATAAGAAAGATTGGTGAGATAAGAGAATTGCCATGTCTTTCATGTATAGTGAAGGGGTATGGTCTCATGTTAAAGATGCACCATTTCATGAGTAACCTGTTTCTCCATGTCGTATGTTAGATTTGACCATTTTGTTCATAGTTCCACCCACGAATGTACAAACTAAAGCGTCTGTCGCTGAATCTTCTCGTCTGTAAATTTTAATTTTTTTGCAAACTGTCATCTATATCTAGGGTTGTATGCAGAAACACATCACTCCCCCAAAATCCGACAAGACCAACAAAAAGAAAAGGAAAGACTTTCGCAAAGCAGAGCCCTCGTAGCAGAACCAGAGTCCTGTCCTGTCACACCATGTTCGTCGAAACTGAAGCTTTTCGTCTCCCCGTAGTTGCTCAGCCATACAGCAGCAGAGACGAACATTTTCTGAAGTAAAACGAAGATGAAACGGAGTTAACAATCACTTAACCAGCTTCCCCCGTCTGAGTTCGATCTTTCTTGTTTTTATTTCTCGCACAACGAAAACGAACAGGGATGGTATAAAGGGAGGTGCGGCTGAGTTCAATGTGGATGCATTTATCGAAAATAAGCCATTGTCGGGCCTTATATCATATGCGCAGATACCGCCATCCATTGAGGCAGCTGTATCAATCACAGAAAGATTCAATTCAACGCAGCAACACGAGAACAACAAACAGACAGGACAGACTTCCAAAAGACATCAGACCTGAAATGAAACCCATGTTACCTCAATGCTCTACTATTTCAGACACAAGAACAGGAAATCCTTTATGGATCACACACCCTTTAAAAACATGATCTCTTTCTTTCAGAAGAACTACGAAGAGGAAATTCCGACACGGTCGAGAGCGATCTGGCAATTGATTTGTAAACGAAAACGGCTCGAATTCTCTATAAGCACGAAGTTTGATTTTCTTAAAGTAGGTTGCTTTACTCGCAACACCAAAAAAATGCAGCTTCTTCAGACGAGAACCCTGAAGCTTCTTCACCTGATAGAGGCACTTCCTAGTCATTTCTGACATCTACTTCTTCTGTCGATCCAGACATCACTCAAAGCCCTAAAATACATAAAAACATCCTCTTTTTGTCCTTGTTTATCAGAAAATTGGACAGTTTTTTGAAAAAACGGGTGCTTCATTCCATGGCAAAAGATCATACTTTCGTGCAGGCTATCTATCGGTGTTCAAGTCTTCGGTTCTAATATATCTATCTGTTTTTTTCTGTCTTGTTGTTTTGATGTTGATGAAGTTACAGTGAAGTCTCTGAGCTGAATAAAGATTTTTGTGTTTGAAGAATTTTCTTAACCTCTACAAGAGTTAGGGAAAAAAACCTAATCACAGCACAAACACTGGCAACTAAACATAGACACTTTTACAAAACTGTTTTCCAGCTTCTACACATATGTAAGATGGAATTTACAGATGACAGACACATGATACCGATGAAAGTTTGGTAAGCATAAACTCGGCAGCAATACCCAGAGAGCAAATACAGCCAAATTAAGCGTAAAAGATGTCATTCGTTAGCTATATATTATATATATATGCACAAAAGTTGCAGGAAGGCACAGAATAGCACGGATTCATGTCTGTCAGGCAAAGTGAAAAGCGTTGAAAGCTTTCATAGTGTCTACTAGAAAATGCACACTAAAAGCTTCAGGTAGCACCAACGGATTAGAAAAACAACCTACAAGAAAACAGAACAGCAGGAAGACAGCAGCAAATTCTAACACAATAAACAGATACATACGTGCACATAGACAAAACAAAACAGAGATTTTCATCGGATGCAAGCAAGAAAGGACCCAAAGATGCATTTCAATGAATCGCATAAAGCTCATCAACTCAAGCATCAAGCAGAGAGAGCAAGTGACAGAGCTATATTACCTACAGATTGCGAGGGCATTGGCATTTTTCTTCTAGTTTCAACTCCCTTGTCCAGCCGGAGCATCTGATTGTCGTTGCTGTTGCTGCTGTATCTGTAGAAGAAGGTTAGCTGCAAACTGAAGTGTTGATTGGTAACGCTGGTTCTTATCGACCTCCCCATCTGCTGAACCCTGACCGATTCCAGGAAGTGCGGACTGGTGTTGCTGTGCTTGGCCAGGTTGCTCTATGTTTGCCTTATCAGCTGATGATGGCATGGAAACTTGAGGTTGCGAAAAGTTAGCAGTATGTGCCTGATTAGATGTTACACCAGCATAGTTAGTTTGTTGATAAGCCGGATACCCATGCAATCCAGGAGCTTCAACTCCAGGAACAGCTCCATAGTTTTGGTTAGGCACTGAAGCTTCTGGCTGATATTGTTGTGTGGTGGGTTGAGAAACAGCATATTGCGAATTCTGAGGATACATAGCATAATTATTCATAGGCATACTCGGTAGCAAAGCCTGCTGAGGCATGCTTACAGGAGGAGGGCCTTGGAATTGCATGCCACCATGCATCATTCCACCAGAGTAGGTGGGTGTGCTCGAAGCAGGCGGGTAACGCATGGGAGGTGGAGGGGGAAGTTGCCCAGCTGGATTGTACTGATTGCCAAATTGTTGGAACGATTGGTTTGCTGGTTCAGCGACTGTCTGTTGCTCTTGCTTCCAACCCTGCAACGGAGTTCCTGTACTAAACATGCCAATGGATTGAGCATTTGTGGAAACTACAGTCGAAATGCCTGAAATAGGCTGGTGGGTTTCGGGGGCAGCAGGTTGGGAAGTTGCCGGCAGCAAAGTTGCCAGAGTGGCTATGAGCTCTGGTGTTAAAGTAACCCCAGCCTTAGATCCGGATTGATCCCCAGTAGGCTCACCACTAGTAGGGGCAACCAAAGTTTGTGCAGGTGGCTTCAACTCCTCCTGGAGACCTCTGCTGTAAGCCAAAGGCAGGGCTTGATCTTCCCTAGAGGGATATAAACTGTGACTGAGGTCGACAGGTGAATCCCGTGGTTGATCCATATAACGCGGAGGAACGGGTTGGGATTCTTGTCTATAGGTTGCAGTAACAGGAGCTGGTGGTGGAGGCAATTTGAGAACTACACCATAAAGCCTCTCTGGACCTGAAACTTTGAGTACAGTTGTCAAGAAATCTGATGGAGGTACTAGGAATAAAGTGGTTCCATCATCTAACTTGGCAACACCAGCTCGATTCTTCGAACCAAGGTAGCGCAAAAATTCAGTGTAAGAAGCAAAATCGTCTTCGCTGTCCGGTAAGAAGAAAACGATGTCAAACCCAATGGCCTCAGCGTAATGTTTGGCGAGCATATCCAACCCAGTTCTTGCTGAACAATTGATGACCTCAGGGCTAAGCATCATTTAAAAAGCTCAGAATCAGTGATTAACAGCATTATAAATTTTAAACTCGAATCAAAACATAAGAAGATATACACAATAGATATAATTAATTACCCACAACGTATACTCTATCTTTAAGAGATTGACAATTACAGAAGTAATTTTTTTTTCATAAGCCGTTTGCACAATTAATAAAAAGTGGAAGGGCAAAAATCAGGTGCGAAAGGTACTCACAGTTCAGTCTCAATCCCTTTCCCGATAGGTACACAACGAGCTTGACAAACAGGGGTTCCACCCTTAGCAATAATTCCCCTCCAAATGTAGTCAGAATTGGGAAAACCTTGACCTGGTCTTGCAGAAACTGGATCAGACCCATATGACCTGTCCACACCTGTTACACGATGGTCTAATCCCACCGGAGGAAATGTGTCCACTGAGCCGTCTCTCCGGGTCCGTTTTGTTTCTCTATCCAACTGAGCAGGATCATATCCTTCCCAAGAACCAGGGGTTGGCCTCATACCTTGAGCAGGAGATGGGAGTATTCCAGCTCCAGGAGGAGATGGCCTTCTCCATCTAGCCTCCTTACCGACCACATCAATGTATTCTGCACCAGCTTGAGGACGACGCTCCATGCTACCTCGCAAGGGTCTCATAGGCCCAAGAATTCCGCTAGAGCCACGACCATAATCCATTGACGAAGATACAAACGATGGGTCATTGACAAACATCTCTGGCCTTGATCGTTTGACCCCAGAATAAAATCCAGTATCATCTTGCCCAGGAGGAAGGTCACTGTTTGAGTATGTAATTGTGATTCTTGGATCATTAAATAATCTTCCCTGCAGTCCTTCCTTAGCATGACGAGCTTCCTCTGCACTCCTAAATTCCACAAGCGAAAAATGCCTTGAGGGGAAACTTTTAATTCTCTCGATCTCACCAAAAAGTATCATGGCATTGTGGAGCATTTGTTCATCTATCTGAACAGAAGGAGGGTAACCAATCCACAGGACATTACTTGGTTGGCCATCTCCTTTGGCATCTCCAAAAGAATGAGGATACTGTAAAGAGAAAACAGCCAAAAAAAAACTTAGAAACATAGCAAGCACACGGCCTCATAAATCATCACAATTATGAAGCATGAAAGCCATTTAACATTTACATACTAGCAGCAGAAGAAACAAACATATTTTACAGCATTCAGACTAACCGTCTGTTTAGCGTTCAAGCTGCCATCCCTGCTATCATAAGAGCCAGACCATTGTTCCTAAACAACAAAGGAAAAGTATTTTCAGAACTCAAAGCTGATTCAAGTATGGTAATAATTTGGAGATCGGAAAAGAAAAAATGCTGCAGAAAAAAAAAGGGACAAAAACCCATTAGCATTCACTGATAAATGAGTTGGTTGCGATAAATATATTACAAGTGTGCTTACTCTACGTGGCGCTTGTGAACGGAGGAAATCAACTCGTAAATAGCTACCGCCTATTCGTTTGCCATTCATGCTCTTTGCGGCCTCCACTGCATCTTCCAACTCAAAGAAATCGATGAAAGCCGTCCTTCGCTCCCTAAGAAATCTAAAATCCTCGATCTTCCCAAATTTCATGAACTCCATCTCCAGGTCATCTTTGGAGACAGCCGGGTTGATTCCACCCACCCAAAGACTCTTACAAGGTTTTGCCTGCCCAAAAAAGAAAAAAAAAATGCTTCATAAGGCGACCATAGTCACCATACTCTATGTTCATATACCTATCATACTTGGACTAAACCAAACTTCAACTAATCATTCCACAAACGGGCAAAACCCTGAGGTTGTTTGCCACGCAATCTTGTGTTTGACAATTGCAGCTCGTCCCAAACCCAAAGAGTTACCAAACGAAAAGGACCCTTTTGACAATAAGTGAAGTAATCAACTCCTTCTGTCGTGTAAGAACACAAGAACAAACACAGATGAAGGTGGGTCTTTCCCATTGGTCAAAAAGGAATAATCTTGCAGCATACAGTTGCTACAGATCTTCTTCTTCCATCTACGGCGTCTGATGCTGCTGGAAGGACTGAACAAAAGCACCCAAGAAGATGCAGCACTTGCCAAAAAATTATGAGACTTCTTTTGGCAATGATCCAAGCCGAAACAAAACCTCAATCCTCAGAAGCGGCTGAAAAAATCATGGAAAGTGATCCATATCCAGAGACAGTTTCAGCAGATGGACAATCAAACTACTATTCTTGGTCGGCCTGAGATTTGATAAACTAGCTTGCGAGCTTTTGTTCAGGCACTGATTGGTTGCGCATTCAACTCGCCAGGACAAACTGCGTGTTAGATTCGTTCTCGTAACAATTTCACGAACAAACGCTGAATCTGGAAGGAATGACCCAAGCGAAACACAATCCCCTGAGTATGAGCTGAATGCTTACCCCGTCCGATCGAAACCCAATTGGGTAAAAGCTCGAAAATTGGAGCGCGCATACTTTGGGAATCGACTGCATTCGGGATTCGACGTTTACGCTGAAAAGCTGTGAGTTTGCAGCTCATTCGTAATGCGCTTTTTGACATTGATTTTCCGCAGAAACACTGCCAGCCAGGAATGCAGAAAGGAATCGTTCTGAGCGTGTGTTCGATTATGGTGATGATGATGGCAGATTTGCGTTGCGGGATTTTTTTTTTCTAAGTTCGGATAAGATTTCTGTCGACGGGATTCCATCAGCGATGACAGAAAAATCTAGGGTTTGAATTCGATTGGGACTGAGACGAGCAAAAGCAATCACGCAAATAAGTTCAAACACGCATAAAATTAAGATCTGTGAAGCAGGACAAGGATTCCGCAAGATCAAAGCCAACGTCATCAATGAACAACAATGGAAACCTAACGAAAAACAGAGATGAGAACAAACCGGTCGCGCGTATTCGATCTTAATCTGGCTGCCGTTCAAGTTTGTCCCCTGAAGAGTCTCCTTCGCCGCCACCGCATCCTCCACGCGCCTGAAGTAGATGAAAGCGAAGCTTCGAGAAGAATACGCCGTGATCCTGTCGAGGTCTCCGAATCTCCCGAACAACTCGGCAAGATCGGATTCCGTTGTATCTGTCGATAAGCTACCGACCCACAGATTGTTCGATGTGAACGTCGAATCGACCTGTTCACGCGCTCTGATGGTCTTCATCACTGGAGCCATCGTCAAACTTCTGGATCCACCGACTGCCAGCCAATCCTAGGGTTCGAAAATTGGATTCTCCCAAGAAAGATTACCTGAGATTGCGAGATCGAGAGAAGATTTGGGGCGATTGAACTAGAGATCGCTTCGGAGACGAAGATCCAGAGAAATATATGTGCGACTAAAATCCTATCTACAGAGAGGAAAACCCTAGACCAGAGAGAAAAGCAAAAGTCCCAATCGCAGCGGCGGTGATAAATAGAGCGATAGCAATGCCTTTTATTGTTAATTATGCTTTTTACCCTATACTATTTTATTTATGAATTATTTAATTGTTATTATTACCTTTAATTTTCTTTTCCCTTCTCTTTCTCGTGGTTAAATTTTTTTATATATAAAAACAAAGTGAACCAAATAAAAAAATACATAAAATAATTCAATCCTTACATAACACAGTGCAAGGATTAAAAAACTAATTCAAAGAAATAAAAAATTTCTAAAGACTGTCACTTTTCTTACTCAAATCATCAAATTCAGTAGTAAATTAGGATATGACCAAAATTTGTCGAATTAGGACATAAGTGAAATCAGACATATTTCCATCTCTTTTTTTTCAATTATAAACTTGAAAATTCAAAAGTGAAGACAAAAGTCACTACCAAGAAAAATCAAGAATCTCTCACTATAATCACATCACAACATTCTTATATTCACTTATGTCTCTATAATTCTTCAGTAATTGCGGATTACCATCTCTCACATTTCACTAATCATTGCAATTATCCATAATTAATCACATTCACTTATTATTGGAATAAACATGGGATTCAAAAAGCAAGAAAACATTATAAAGCAAAAATGCTTTTTTTCTTTTTTGAAGGCTGGGGACATGTAATGTTCCTATACAACGAGGGGGTCCAATCCACAGTTTCAGAAATGATCTCTGGCTCTATGGATGATTCTCAAAGCCTCGGCTTCATCCGCAGTGTCCGGAATACGCAATGAGCTCCTGATTTCTTTGCTATGGCTCCTCAGGAACGGATTGCACGCCTTCTCCACCTTCACACTCGTCGGAATCTTTAAGAAAACCCATCATGGAATTGAAGAGAGACAAAAGAAAAATTAATTTTGATTCAAGTATCTCTTTTCTTTTTCTGGATATCATATCAACTAAAATTAATCAGGGTTATATATATATATATGTGTGTGTGTGTGTGTGTGTTACCGAAGGGAGGCCCTGGCTGCGAAGATGGGCGACTTGGGTGGCATAGGATTGAAGAATGTCATTCTTCGGCTCTACAGACAGTGCGAACTTCAAATTGCTCTGTCGTCAAGAATTCGATCGTATAATTATTCGATGATCCGCTTTAAAATCCGACATTGCATGAGGAAAAAAGCATATACCACTGTGTTTTCGTGACCGCAGTATATCCTCGTATCATCCGGCAAAGACGTTACCTTACAGAGCGACGAAAGCATCTGGAAAACTCAGCAAATGAAAACTATGGTCACGTTGTGAAACTATTGATGAAAGGGAGGAACTGAGTATTATTGACCAATAGTTCTAAACAATTGTTTTACCTGCTCAGGGGTACCTTCGGAAAGCTTACCACAGGATAAGCTGTATATAAGATCTCCTGTGAATATCGAAGATGACCCGGGAAAGTAGAAGCTAATATGGCCTGGTCACAATGCAAAGTAAAAAAAAATATCGGAAAAGTTCAGCAAAGGGAAGGCTGGAAATGGATGCGACCATACGCTTCTATGAATCAACAATATTTGGTTCGTGAGGTAATCATCCACCGTTTGGAAACATGATAAATCACTACCCCGATATCATACCCTATAACTTTGCATATAATCATCATCCAAACGGGCAGGGCACAAACCTTGTGTATGGCCAGGAGTTTCAATCACTCGAACTTCATGTCCCGCAAACATCCACTGGTCGCCATCGCTAAGGGCAATGTCAATCCCAGGAATCCGATCCTTATCCACTACCGACCCAATCACCTGTAGCAGCATTATTAATACACAAAAGCGCTGAGAATATATCACAGAAACAACAACGAAAATAAGCACAAGAAGAAAAAAGATTTAACTCTGCAGATTAGTATTGGAGGCCAGCAAGCAGAACTATGCAGAATTGTATAACCCAACCCACTAGACTAAATGATATGTATTACACAGCTATTAGTGCTAAATAATTCTACAAGGGAAATAAATATACGGGAAGAGAAGCAATTCGTAAAGAATCAAAAGTCAGGAGCATGCCAGCAGATAAAGATTAGAAGAGCTAACTTTCGATTGATTCTCTCCCGGGATTTTGCTAAATTGAAACCTAGAAAATAAGAAATACATAGTTTAGAAATGAACAGAATCCCCATACCTTTGCTCCATACCTTGCTTTCAATTCTGTATTCCCCCCGGTGTTATCGTCATGGTGATGAGTATTCAATATGTAAGTCAAATTTCGGTTTTTCCTGCTCAATGCCTCGATAACAGGTGCACCTTCAGAAGGATCAACAACTCCGACTGTACCAGTATCTTCATCATGCAAAAGATAAGCATAGTTGTCTCTTCCGCAAGGCACCTGAAACCGTGTCCATGAATAACAAAAACAAGAAAGATCGCTTGTCAAATTCTTGGGCACATGAAAACCCACAATAACAAGACTTTTTTTTTTATAGCTATGCCCAACTACACCTTAAGCATGACGAATGAACTGCTCGAGGAAAAAAAAAGGCAAACTAAAACAGCATGACCATACAAGAATCTCCAGAAAACAATAACCAAGAGAAAATCTGAAAAGAGAGGCAGCTTACTATTTCGATTTTTAATGAGGTCAAGCTAGAGATGCTGCAAAAATGTCCAACTTTAAGGGTTCGTCTGGCTCCACGTAAGGTTTTCAATGGCATGGACAGCAGCCACATTACTCCATACAAAAGACTTTTTCTGATGCAGAATTGTCTCGAGCTCGGCCACACGCAGAATTGACCCCCAATCTGTTTCCATGGATTAATCGATTAGCTACAGTCTGAAAACTACGACAATATCAGATAAAACTTTGCAACAAATAACAGCAAGGGACGAGGAGAAGGAAGAAGGTGAAGATCAAAAAGGTCCTAAAAAGCAGGATAACCAAAATGGCAAGGAAAAAACAGAATTCACCACTCATCATACTTGTCTTGGAAGCATTAGCTCCGACACTAACTCGTGAAAGCCCATTGCCTAGATAACCTCAAGTCAGTTCAACTATAACCAGTAATTCATCGTCTTTCTCTTTGTCTCTCAACCATGTTTGTAACAATTGTCTCATCAAACAAACAAACATCAAAAACAAGGCTACACCTAATGAGGGAAGAGAATCATATGTCGCAAAAACGAGGATCGGTGAATGAACAAAACCCTAAAGTAAAATTCCCCCGTCAGAAGAGGGAAAATATAAAAAAAACTTAAGAGATCATCTGAAGGATACACAAACACACCACTCAAAAAGCAATAAACCCAAAAATCGAGCCAGAGATCACAGAAACACGAACAAGCAAACGACGGTAGTAGATCAGATCGGGCACTCTCAAAATTCAACGAAACAAGAAGCCGGGAGGATCACATAAAAGGTAGGGAGAGAGAGTACCCTAGAACAAGAAGGAATCGACGGCATGGAAGATGAAGCTTTGGAGATCATCTGCATAAACCCACTCTCTCTCTCTCTCTCTCTCTCTCTCTCTCACTGAGTGTTGTTCAGCGAGAACGAGAGAGATGGCTTGCTTCAAGGCTTAGCGCGTTCTGATGACGAGCCTGCGACTTCGGCAAGAGAGAGAGAGAATCTTCTTCCCTTCCGTATTTATTCCGTTCGGCCAATTTGGTTTTACCTTTCTTTGGATTTTGATTTATAGATTATTACTCTCATTGATAAACTTGTGATTGCTCTACTTAATCAAGTCACAAAAGAAGACTAAAACACTTTTAAATTGTGATTATGATGTTTAAAAAAATTACTAAATCGGAGAATTAAATGTGAAAAAAAGAAACCATCAGATTCTTCGACGCTCAAAAATCTTCTAAAACAGAGAAAAAAATCATAATAATATAGATTTCCTGATTAGAAAGATTATCTAATATTATTGTGACGATATAATCTAAAAGGGAAACATTTAAGAATTATAAAAATACTGATTATAAATATATATATATATATATTTATTTATAATCAATAGATAATGATTATAAATAAATGGCATTTAAAAAAATACTGATTATTGTTTGGTCAACATAAATATAAATATAAATATATATGAATATAGGGGTGGGTGTTTCAAGATCCGCATGGAACCAAACCAAAAAATCAAAAAATGTGGTACCAATTTTAAACGTCTAAAATTTCTCAACTTATATTTTTTAAAAATCAAAATTTTCAAAACCGAATTAAATTTTAAAAAAATCTACAAACTAAAATTTTTAAAAAATATATAAAATTTTCTTAATAAAAACTAATACCAAACCGAATATAAATTATGAAATAACATACATATTTTTATAGATTCGAACAATTTTCAAACCGAATTTGAACTAAATATTGAAACACCCACAACTATATATATATATATAGGTATGTATGCATTGGCATTAGGAGTGTAAAATGGGTTCGGGTCCGCGGGCTGGCTCGCGAACCGGCCCATATTTCTCCGAGTTGGAATGAGAATAATTGAGTCCAGAAAAAAAGGGTCAAACGAGCCGATCCATCACGGACCGGGCTCGCGGGCTAAATTTTTTTTTCTTTTAATTTTTTATATATTTTAAATATTTTATATACAAATTATATTTTTATTACATATTTAATTTATTTTGTTTAAAAATTAAAATATTTTTTATTATATTTTAAATATTTTTAAATATTTTAAATATTGTTTAAATATTAAAATTATTTTAAAATATTTTTTAGTATTTAAATTTTATTTTTCAAATTATTGGGCCCGCGGACCGACTCGTTTGACTCGCGGGTTAGGCGATTTTGATTGAATTGGTCTATTTTTGGCTCGTTAAAAAACAGACTGTGATGGACTGGACTAAAATTTTCTCGAATCGAGACAAGTCAGGCTGGGCTGGACCGGCCATCCCGTTTTACATCCCTAATTAGCATTGGCATTGGCATTGGCCCACACTGCTCCGTGCGAGTAATATGAACATAAACAAGGTGTCTCTCGTCAAGCGCTTCCACCATTTTCCGTGTACTCTTCGTGTGTCGGCTTTTTATTACAACACCAACCCATCCAACTTACAGAAATGACGAATATGACTTTTCTTAAAAGAAATTCTGAATATAAATAAAACATGATCCAAAAAATAACCATAATCGAAAGAATGGACGGAGATATGCTTAACAATATTCAAAGGTCTTCAAACAGAACATAAATATGGCATAAAAAAATACAGAACTAAAACCCAATTTATCCCCAAGTCACAATTTTTGAAAGAAAAAAAATCCATGGACTTTTTTTTTATTGGGTCGCTCTCATATCTGCAAAGCCACAATGGTCGATCTGTAAATAATGACAATCACGATTTTGTTTGCAGTATTTATTTCCCCAATCTCAATAACCATCTTCCTGATAATGGCCATTATATCAAAATCTAGCATCCAAATTGGAAGAGAAAAATTCTCGAACCAGTGACAAACCTTGCTTTAAATTAAACAAGTCTTTCCATTTCGCAACCAAAACTAAATTTGAATGTTTCAAGAGGCAAACAAAATATCCTAAGGCAATACAAAGTCTCGTCAATAAGTTTGAGAAATTCAACATACATAATAATCAAACCTCATCACGGAGTTTCTCCATCTGCCGATGTTTGATCTCACAGGTCTTGTACACTCAAACCTGCAAAACCCATCACAGAGCTCCAAAATCTCAGTTTTTGGAATTATAGCATACCCTTTTCATAGCAACCATCGATTCTTTAACGTGTGTTAGCATGCATTAAGGTGCTTAGGCATTTGCAAATATCACAGATATGGCCTGTGTTTACATGATTTACAATACCATACAGCCACCGATCCATTTGCTTCAAGAACAATTTAAACGTTCGCAAATCCACGGCGACCCAGATATCAGAACTAACAAAAACTAACACCCAATAAAGAGATTTTGATGGAGACTGGAAAGAATGGAGATAAAAGTTAACCTGGAGGAAGAGATTGCTTCAACTTGTCGGCTTTCTCTTGGTCAAACACGCATAGAGTGTAGAGGTACTTGGAGCAACGGACCTTGAACTTGACCACTTCTTTGCTCCTCTTGATCTTCACAGACCTTGCATCCTTCCTCCTGGCGGTGAGGAGGAAATCCTTAATCTCGTTTATTTGCTTAGGCTGCATATTACAAACACACGCACACATTAAACAAATTTTCATCCCTTCAGTACCACAATCGTAGGAAGTGAAGCATTTGAAGTTCCCTGGTGCGTAAAAATGGGTCAAACAATCTAAAAGTTGCAGTTCCTCCTGGAAATATGAGAGAACTTTCTTCGACGATACAACGTTTTCTCCGATACAATTCATTGAAAAACTAAGCGAAACCACAATAATCAAATCGAAAGCATATATAATCTACAAGCAGGAAAAACAGGATTTGCACGATACTACACAGTGAGGTTACCAAAAACCTAGACGTAGATGATAAAAAAGGACTAGAAATAAAATGCATCAACGTTACGAGCACAATCGATTTCAGCAACAGAATCACACAGACGAGAAACAAGAAACAGTACCATTTTCGAACCCGAAGCTCTCTGGATCTTCTCCTCCCTCAATCGCCGTCGGAAGAGAGAGGACTGGTAACAACAACGGTATTTATATGAAGGGCTCCAAAATCATGAAAACAACCCTAGAAGCTGGGCTTCGTCATTACCTGGGCCCAAATACATCTTATCAAAGACTTTGATAGGCCCATTTATGGTATTTTACAAAAGGCCCGGTTTATTTTGTTTGAATTTTGATTCTGGTTTGGTCCGGCTTGACATTTACATCTTTTAAATATCGTCTAGGAAAACATTAACCAAAAAATTTGAATTCCAATTGAAATTGAAATCAGTTTGATCCGGTTTAATTTTTTATTTCGGTTATTACCGGATTCCACCAGACTCTTGTTTTCCCATTGGTTAAGTTGATTTTCTGCCTGTTGGTTTTCTGAGAATAACATTTAACCAAAAAAAAAATATGAAATAACATCTACTTTTTTTTTTACAAACCAAAAAAAATATGAAATACAAGATGGGACAAAAAAAAAAGATGGCAATTCGGGCTCGGGTATAAATAATAAAATTAAAATTAAAAAAAAAAAATTAAACAGGACAGGGACATGTGTGAGAAGGCAATTTATTAATGTACATCAAAGGTTAAAGGTCTCTTGCTAATGTTTCCAACCCTTGGAGTGACCATCATCCATGTAAGGCTCAAGAAATCCTATGAACTGCAAGAAACAAAGTTAAAGCCGCCCTTTAATTAAAAAAAAAACAAATATATATATATATACGAAAAATACAAAATTCCGAGTTCCGTAAGCAATACATTGGTTCCATCTCGAGACCAGCGTGCTCCATAACCCTCGGCCACTCTAATCTCAAACACTTGACCGTGTGGTTGGACTACATGTATGTTCATCCAACAACAATCCACAACCAATCGACTTAGAATGTCTGCAGCTTGCCTGTTCTTGTCCGAATCTGCAATTTTGAATCTCGTCATTGTTTATATGACAAGATAAAGGACATGATGTGCGCAAGAAAATGTATCGGCGTGGAAATTCTCACCGCTTCCATGTAAAATGCCCCAAAATCTGTCACTACTACGATCAACATGCTTGGCCAATGCCCTTGCCCCGTGACTCAACTTGCAACCTTTTACCTCCACCAAGGAGAACAATTCATCTTAATTGTAAATCAATTGTCAAATAAAGTTTATTGCTTGCTTTGAAGGAGATGAGGATATACCTTTGGTTTGTACAGAAGCATGAATGAAGAGAATAAACTCGATCTTGGAGGAGGTAAGGCGTGAAGAATGGATCCTGGAGTGTGGGAAAGCCCTAGAAACCTTTGCACGCCAATGTAACTAAGACTCTTTACCGAAAGAAGTTAACCGACCAGTTAAAATAGGTTTCAACGGCTTCGAAATCGCCAGTAATGACAGGACAAGATAAAACTCACGGAGAGGATTTTCGCCAAAATGATGCATGGCTGAGCAGCTGCTTTACAAACATGGATCGCAACAACAGAATTGCTCTTCTCTTGATCAACTTTATAGAACTTCCCAAATATTTCCATACCTAAAATGTGAAAATTTTGAAACAATCTTAGACAAAAGCTGCAAAGACAGAACATTGCAAGAGTAAAAAAACTAATAAAGAGACAAAAGAGGGTGTGATCATAGGAGTCTGTAAGTATTGGCTAGTCCTAAACCCCTGTTCACGAGAGAAACTGAACTAAATGGTGCCACGAAAGAACTCCATAATGTGAGGTTCCATAAGCCTAAATACGATCTAAAGGTTATGCATCCACTTTCCAGCATCCCACGCTATGAAAAAAAAAAATCATCAGGATTGAAGCCATACCTTCTTCAGCTGTTGTAAATCCTGGAAACACTTTTGCAGGATTCTCAGCTTTCAACATCTCATAAAACGAGGAATAATGGTGGACTTTCTGCAAAAAAAAAATGAGCGGATATCGTGAGATATCTATTGGGGGTTAAGGAAGATACACAAAAACACGAAAGCACAAGAAAATTGATGTTACACAACGTCTCACCAGAACTTCAAACAGGAGACATTTATTTAACATAACCAAAGAACCCGGACGAAGTCTGAAGAATTGAAACAACAGTTGTGAACAGAAACCCAAGTTTTAAGCTCAACTTGAATCCATGAGCATAAGAAAATGCATAATCGATTTACCCTCACAATTTTTAACTTAGCTTACCTATCATAGTCAGCTACAAAGCAAGTCCCTTCAACGGTTTTCAGGCCATCTAAAATATCCAATCAAATCAAGAACCCGATAAGCTTCGGATCAGAAATCTGGTTGCAAAGCACATAACTTTTGCCGGTTCCATCAACGAGGATTGAAACAGATGCAATTTAATTGAAAGAGAAAGAACTTTGGCCAGGTTATCATCAACAAGAGATGAAAAAAGAAAACGATAAATTTGAAGAATCCAATCAGGAAAGGACCTTTCATGAGCGAGAAAAAGGGCTCTTGAACGGGAAGCTCGAATTCTATGTCCTTCATAACCTGATAGAATATCACATACAGTCCATGAATTCAACGGGACAGAACAACCAAACGAACACCAAAAACTTCTCGAACAAAAACTAAGCATTGTATCGATTCCGACAAGCGTTCATCCAGTCACTGGAATCCAATGATGTTTCCAGGACAGAGATTCTTTGAAATCAAACCTGAATCTGAAGCCCAACCGAATAAGAAAGATGTTCGAGAAAATCAAAACCGTGACTCACATTCACCAGCTCGGAGCCTTTTTCGAAGATCAGCTTTCCAAACTCTTCCTCCTTCTCCTTCAACCAGCTTTCTTCCTTCATCAACGCGATCTTCTCATAGGATCCGCGGAAGGAACCAGACGTGATGGACCTGAGCAGACCAAAAGCGAGACGCTTGTACAAAGGATACTCAGGAACCCCTGCAACTACAGAATCTGCGGACAAATCGAACCAAAACACCCAGCGAAACAAACGGGCAGAGAATTCGTATGGGAAAACGCGAATCGATCGGTCACCTGAGTCGGCAAGAGGGAAGGGAAGAACATGATCGTCGGCGAGAAGGGCGGAACAGAAATCGCCGGAAAGCCCTAAATCGAATTCGGCTGCAGAATCGAGCGTGAATTTCACCATCTCCTCCAAACAATTTCTCAGTTTCTCCATTTTCGGCGCCGACTAGTCACCAAAAGCTCTTTGACGGCTATGGCTTCGCACGTTCTGGTCGATCCATGGTTTCGACCATCGGTCGAATCTTATTTTATGAAATGTGAATAATAGAATATGATATTCCATAGACAGACTTGAATAAATTAATGGTTATTATATTAAATAAATTATATGATTATTACTTTGCTTATAGGGCAATTGAAGAGGTTGACGATTGTGTTCTACATTTGTTGACTGCTTTAATTGTAAAGTGATCCGAGGACACGAGAATTTAGGATTTAATTACTACCGAATTATTTATTAATTTTAAAGATAATAGATATTAATTTAGGAGTACTGTTTTGGTTGTTTCCAATGGAATCTTTTAACAGAAAAACTATAAGATATTGAAGCATAATATAGACAAAATTGAAATACTCTCATAAAATATTTGGATATTGATATATGGAGTGAAGAATAATTTAAATACTAATTACATTTATATCTTAATTTTATACAACAAATATAGTTAGCACTAGTCAAGAGTTATTGGTAATCATTAACATTACGATATCTACATGTCAATTTCGAGTAGTATATGATATATCTATGAAATGTGAATGGGTTTCCATGCTGATTTGTACTGACAAAGATTATTTGTATTCAATATATACTTTTAGAAGAGATATATATACATATAGTTTTTTTATATCGGTGGGAACCCGTCATACGGTCCTTCGGACTGGATTCCGAACCGTCTCATCCTCCCCCAAGATCGAACGGTCGGTATGTCGACAGTAAACCCCCGGCCTCGCACAATAACCGGCAAACCACGCAGAACAAATAAACCAGTCGAAGCTGACCGGTTCAACGGGGAAGTTCAGCATCCGCTGGTTTCGAACCCTCGACCTCTGTCACCAACCAATAGAAATGGGGTTTCCCCTATATATACATATATATTGGACTAGCCGTTTCGTCACAGGCAATACAAAGTCT